TTCCCCAGTATTTTTCCCACAGTATTTTTGCGCAGATCTCTCTGCGAGCCTAACTACGACTTAACAGACACGATTTTGATTTGCAAAAATTGTATACCGACATTTTTTCCCCTCATGCCTGTATTTTGATTTGTTAGTATTTTAATTTGTCGGTATTTTGATTTGTCTGTATTTTGATTTGTCGGTATTTTTCTTTTTCTGCATTTTTGAATTTTGTCTTTATTTTAATATGTCTGGATTTTGAATTTCCGGATTATGAATGTAACCGATTTGTTTTTTTAAATAATGAACACTAAACAAACAAAAGATTAATAGTCAATACTGTTAAAAATTATTAGGTCCTTTCGTTTTGTTGCCTGCTCGAATCCATCGTATTACAATTTTTCGTGAAAACTACGAAAATGCATTTAGGTATATCGGTGAGTATTTATATTATATGCTACGTTCGTAGCTATTCGAATTCAGTGATATAATTTTCGTAGATTTTACGAAAAAATTGTGGATTCAGCGATAGGCCTGAATGTACCAGTTTTACGCACTTTGCCAACTATTTTCATAAATAACACTGCCCTACAAAATTCTGTTGCGCATTATTGCAGCCGATTCTTATAGGACTTTTCCTTAGATTTCGAATCTGGCCGTAAAGATATTGGATTGGCTCTAGTTTTCGAGCAACACAGGTTTAAAGGTGACGAAAAACGCGTTTTTGGACATTTTCGAGCCTTTGTAAAATAATAAATTGATGCAATATATCTGTCTGTGTGGGAGTATATTAAAGACTAAACACTGCCTTTTAATACCCAAAATCAAAAAATTTAGTCCGAACACTGAAAGTAATTGGAAACAGGGCTCGAATCGTCACATACGATATCGTACTACTCGTCACGGCTTATACTGCCTGACGTATCACGTAATTTTCTTTCGTATTGTTTTCAATCCATGAACGGATGTTACGATTCGAGCCCAGGTTTTTTATATTATACGAGTACGCACGATCTTTTTTACTCTTGTTTTTCCTGTTTTTGATCACTAGTGTTAAATGAATCTGAGATACTGGAAATTTCGAAAGGGGTTGAAATTGAAGCTCAAACCTTCATCTAAGGGAACATAACAAAGGCCAACAAGATTGATGTGTCTTCCTCATCTTCATTTCCGCTGCTAGAGTCAGTGTCCATCGGTATTTGGGGTTAATCCATGAAACCTCGAGTTGTACTTCAAAGATTGGTACAGAAATTTTTCCATAAATTTTTGATTTTGAGTATTATAGGGCAGTGTTTGGGCTTTCATATCCTCACACACGGACAGATATATTGCATCAATTTATTGTTTTACAGAGGCTCAAAAATGTCCAAAATGCATTTTCGTCACTTTAAACCTAAGTTGCTCAAAAACTAGAGCCAATCTAATATCTTCAGGGTCAGATTCGGATTATACGGAAAAATCCTATAAGAATCTGCTGTAATATTTTAGTCAACATAACATTTTTAAAATTTTGTTGGCCTGTGTAATCTATGTGTACGATAGAAGAAACTGTGTCAAAAGTTCGGAAGTGGCGGCTATGCCGGGCGAATTTCGATAGACAAATTATTTTTTCGAACTGTTTCTGCAGCTTATATGAACTCCAGTGTTGCTTGCAGGTACTTGAATACCCAAGCCGAAATGAGAAAAAATTTTTCGAGAACGTTCTCAATGGAAATTATATAAGAACGCCACCCCGCGGAACGTCCCCAAAAAGAACAAAATGAGAGCAATACTTTCGGGAACAGTTCTGGCTACGAACAAAATGGAAACAAAAGTCTAAGGATCTTTCTTTCGAAGAACACATTGGGAACTAGTCTCAGGAACTTTCTGACAGAGAACGCAACGCTAAAAAATCTTTTCAGAAGTATTCGCGAAGAATGGAACCGAAAACAAAATTTTTCGCATGGCATTGGAATATTAAAATTAATCAAAAAAGAACTGAAAGATAATTATGCAAATTAAGTCAACGAAAGACTTAAAACACGAACTTTTCTTACACAGAAAATAAAAAAAATTTTCCATAAATGGATAGCTCATCCTAATGATAAATATTCTGGAAGTGGAAATGATCCAGCTTTCCTCTGACTTAGAATTAACAATCATGGTTCTCATTGAAATGATCTTTTATCCCAACACACAGACGCTCCTTTCATTCTTAACGTTAAGTTTTCAAAACTTTTGTTCTCGTTTTATTTTCCAGAGGAACGTTCCTCAAATTTTTGTTGTTATTTGAAAACGTTCTCGATACTTTTGTTCTAGTTTCTTTTCCATTGGAAACGGACCCGAAATTTTCGTTCTCATTCTGTTCTTCTTGAGAACATCCTTGAGAGCTTTGTTCTTTTTGAGAATGTTCCCGAACCCTTTATTCTCATTTTGTTCCTATTCAAACTGCTCTCAATACTTTTGTTCCCGTTTGCGAACATTCTTGACATAACATTTTGTTCCCGTACAGAACTAAATCAAAACCGGAACGCGTTCTCGCTTACTGTTCATAATATACATTTTCATTTCAGTGACGATGCCCATTAGCAACCCATAGTCGACCTATAATTTTACGATTTTCTTTTTTAATTTTTTTCTTTAATCTTCCGACAACCAAAATTTCTACATTACGCCTTGGATTTAACTTTTCGAGTACGAAACTCAAGTCTGCGATGGATTCCATAATAGGGGTGATTAGAAGACAATACCAACAGATATAGCTTGGAAGATTTTAATTAACACTACTCTACTGTATTATAATTTTATGAAACTGAATTGTGTGTGCATTGTTTAAAGGTAAAAAAGAAGCGGATTTATAAAATAATCGGCCCTTAATTGTTAAACTTTATTCTTGTAAGACACAGTGGAAAATAAAGTCAGCTTATACAGAACGTACTTGATCTAATGGAAGCAAAAGATATTTATCAATAAAATTATAAGTATGTAAAAGAAATTGAATACCTGAGTATTGTGAAATAAATGTGTAAATTATGAAAAACCCCAGAAAATATATTTATTCTTTTGGCACTTAAAGATATACTTCACGAATTATTACATTTATACTCGCTTAAAAATAATCTTTGTTATACATTTGTGCTGCGTACACTATACACTTGGTATGTTCTTGAATCAGGATTTTGTTTTTTTAATTTGAACGCGTGCTTTTTAACAAGACCCCTGTATTGTCGTTTATTTATTTTAATATGAATTTCATTCTCTTATTTCATAAAAATTGTTTAGGTCCTACGATGACATGGAATTTTTCAGTATTGAAATTGTGTTATCCTATTTTGGTTTGTGTACAAACACAGACGGTTTCGTCAGGTTGTAGAAAAATTTCAAGAGAGCGAGCTTCAAATGACTTCAATAATAAACAAAACTAAATGCAAATCGAAAAAAACTCTATGTCAGCGTAGCTATGCTTACCCTTAACAGTAGCAACAATGCTTCTGAGGCTATATGGCTATCACTTTGTATAGCAAGTTAATAGACTTTATAAAAACTAATTAATCCGTTACTAATAACTAAGTACTATGCTATGTATACAAAAGCAGTATGATAATTGTTTGGCAGAGCTATAAAGTGTTATGACACACACATACAAATGTATTCGATTTTATAATAAATGAAAATGCTTATTTCCCAGCTAGCAAAATTGTCAGAAATCTGTTAGATATCCGTCAGACTCGTCGGCAAAAAAGTCAGAAATCTGTATGATTTTGGCCGATATCGGTCAGAGAAGCGTATGGAGGGGTTGACAGGAAGTTTAACCGACACGACGTGGGAAATTCTGACTTAATTACCGACGATTCTGACCGATATCTAACATGGAAAATAAGAATTATCAGACGTGTATGCCCGAAATCGGACATAATTCAATCAGACATATCGGATAAGGAAATAAATAAAATTCTCCAGACATTTCGCCCAGAAATCTGTACGAAACCTGTAAGACTTGTCTAAATAGTCAACTTTTCATTCCGACTTGTCTGATATCAGAAATTATGTGGCAAACGTGCTACCTGGGTTATTAGGAGCATTAATATGTTAAGCCTGTGTGTAATTTAATATATCACATTAAATTCAGTGAAAAATATGCTCTAACTATGACAAATGTGGAATTATTCCAGTCTATATTAAGATTCTACGTAACAAAACTTTCAAAGCTCTTTAACATTGTTTGTACATGCCTTATAATTTTATATATGTAAATTAAAGTAAAACGATTTCGCAAAGAAATATTCACTTGTAAATAGTGAATGGAGTACCTACAGTAGAAAATAATATTTTACAGCCTTGAGTCGATTACATCCTCATCTGACTGAATTTCGCTTTCTCATTGGTTTTATGTAGGAACTACCGCTAGTGACTCCTTCCTTGTTGTTGCTGTCGCCGTATCTGCTGTTACTGTCGGTTTTGAAATCTTGATCTTTGGAATAACACTTCGGTGCATATCGTCCATACAATCGGCACTAAGTTCATGGTACAATTTGCGCTCGCGTGCCGAGGCTAACAGGCTACGCCAAGCCGGCACCGCCTAAAATGAGAAATTTAAAAGAATTAGGCAAATAATATTTTGCATAAAATGACTACAATATAATTGTTAATTTTCTTCAATTGCCCGAAATAATAGATAGAGGGCCTGTTCGAGACACGTAATAAAAGCGACAGCACTACCGTAATGATGAAAGTATGCAACACTATTGCAACTGCCCAACTGATAAAACATTACGTATGTAAGTGAAACACATAGGAGATTTTCACATTTTTCTTGTTTTAAAGAGCTGTCTGCAGTTCTCATGAAAAATCACAAAATTGTAGCTTGGTCTTGCTGTAAATTTTCTGAAGAAATAAAAATACGAGCACTTTTATAAGCTTTAATTATTATTATTATTATTATGTCATTATCTGTGTGTAATCAAATCTTGCAGTTAATTTTTAGTCAACTTCCGATGAACTAAAGACTTGAAACTTCAAACTTAGCCCAGAACTCGATTACAATGCAATATGAAGGATGAATTAATCAGCAAGAGTCAAGATATTTAAAAAACCTGCATTTATGGTCCGATATTGTTCATATTTGGGATGCATATTACTTACATGAGAGGGAATAACATACAAAATTTTTTTTTTCAAAACCAATAACTATTACTAAAAAAAATTTTTGCGTTTAAAGCTAAAGCTATTAAAATATACAACGCACATTTATCACCCCTATTCTGGAAATCTGCCATATTCGAATTTTGCTACGAATCGTAGAAATAGAATGCTGCAATCCGAATAGTATTTTCAAACTTTCGAAATTCGTAACAATGGCATGCCCAAAAACGAACGAGTAAGGCACTCCGCACATTAAACGCCTAATCATAGTAGTGTAATCGTTGCGGCGTACTAAAGTATGAAGCTTTTATACCGAACATATGTATTTCAATGAAGCTCTGTGTATTTCGATTCATAATCATAAAAACTTCATGAATCGAAGCGCCCTACCATGTGAGGCGTTTGCCGTTTTAATATCGGCATTTGTTTACTTTTTTGTGCTCCAAATAAAAATTATTTGTCATTTCAGTAGGAAATAATTAAAAATGAATGATTTTGTGCTCAAACTCGTGCCAATTGTATTAAGCCATAAACGTTTTTTGCGTAATCTTGTACGAAAACAATTCTGTGTCGGAGGCGAGTTAAATGATGTAAATCGACGTGTATTTGCAGGAAATATTAGTGGTGTTGATTTAAACAGATAAATTGCCTTTCGCATGTACGTATATTTTTATCCCCTGCTTTATATAAACCAGTGATTCCCAAAGTGATCCAGGTGGACTCTTAGGGGTCCACGGGAGACTCGCCGGGGTCTCCCTTGGCGGGAAAAAAATATGGGGGTCTACGAGTTGTAAGAGGGGGTCTATAAATAACCAAAATGGTTGCTTGATAGCCTCGTTATTTAACAATAATCTTTTTGAGTGCTCTTGACGCACTTTGTGTCTTCATACTTGGGGAATCCTTAAAGACCACCTGCAGACTAAAAGTAAACGGATGTTGGTATAACACTGAGTGGGCCGAGGCGGAAATTGCTGGTGGCAGAGATTTGAACACTTGTGTTTTTTCAATGCTAGAGGATACCTTTGCTGAAGCATCAGTCTCTTTTATTTTTAAACTATAATTGATGGAAATGTAAAATATGCGCAACCACTGTTTATTGGACTTAGTTGCGTAAATAAGATATTTACATCAATTATAGTTTAGAAATAAATGATAGATGCTTTGGCTTGATGCATTTCTGAGCGCACGCTCTATAACGTTGAGTTCCCCGACGCTGAATGCCGTTTTAATTCCAGCACAAATGTTCGAATCTTTACTGATGGCTTCACAACTGAGCCTGGTTCAGGAACTGGGCTCTTCTTCAAATTAGTGGGAATAAGCTTCACTGTTCTCTGGGCAAAACTTATGTTGCCTTCAATCTCAGATGTTCTATCTAGTTTTTTGCTCTCATTGAGCATGAAGACAACTTCTAGAACTGCTGACTGGTCACTTCAAGCACCTGACTGTAATAAACGTAAATGACAACGCCATTTGCCCATCCTGCCTTGAAGAGGTTGAGACGATGGAACACTTTTTGTGCTTCTTGCTTGCTTGGTTGTTTGTCGTCGATTTTTCTAGATTCAGTCTTTTCTTTATTGTCAGTTTCTGATTTTCAAGTTAGGCGTAAAAAGTTTTGCGGTTTTGTTGTTTCTAGTTATGTGTTTTAAAAATCTGTGATAAAATTTTTTAGCATCACTTTAAAACTCGGAGGGATAAAAATAAAAACTATTTTACAAATACGTCACATGCAAATTCATGAGTGATCCGAACATATGTATGAGGACTTTATGGTGAACATAATAAGTTCTTTCCCGTACGCAAAAAGCCCAAAAATCATACCCGTACTCAACAAAATGGGTAATAGAGAGCGAAAATTGGAACGTTTTGGATCGTAAGTGTCTTCTTCTTCCTGCCCGAAACAGTCCGGACTCCAGGTAAAAATGGATACAGTGTCAAAGTACATATCAGCTGCTTTGTGTTCACATGTTGCCTGCATTTACTTGGTGCTTTTAAGGAATAGTGAATGTATTTTCAATCTTTATAAACTTAAAATCAAACTTGTGAAACAAAAATTCAATTTCCAAGAGTTTGCAATTAAGTGACAAAAACAGAAACAACAACAGAATAAGCTCTTTCTCAAATTCTGAGCACGAAATGTGGTTTTCTGCGTTCCCGTACTTGTGGATTATGTTCCATTTTTGAGAGCAAACTTTTCGCTTATTCTCTAATTACCGTATCCGGTCCAGATTGTTAGGGAAAGAACCTAATGTAAATAACGCTAGCGCTCGGAGACCTCTGTTTTTTTTAAACTTCCAAGCGTGAAATTATTTTAATAGATAGAACACAAGAAAATATTTTATCTTTATTTTGGCTACTCCGAATTTAGTTTTGGAACTCACCCGCGATGCAAATTTACATCGTCAGACTAATCTTCACAATTTTTGACGACCTTTGGGAATATGTTAGAAATGTGGCAGCAGAGGTCCACTGAAACCAATAAAGTTTTGAAAGGGGTCTAGGAGAAAAAAAAAGGTTTGGGAACCTCTGATATAAGCGAACAAAAAAGAATATTTGTTGCCTCTTATCGAGAAACTTGGGTCCGGTTTAGGTATTTGTACAATGATTTTCAGTTGTTGTGTCCAAACGCATAATCGGGAGTTAAATGCACAAGAAATGTTGTATACCTTTGGCAATTCTACTAAGGGTTATAATCCCTAAGCGCAGCCGAAGGCAGAAGCAAGCGCAAAAGGTGGTGAGCCTAACAAAGTACATGTTTTCAATGGCTTGAAAGAAGTTTTTATTGCATTAACCGGATTGAGAACCAGTTCTTCAGGCATAGGAGGAGTTCTGGCTTGTGGTTCAACAATTCAACCAGAAGTTAACATAGATGCGCCCATGGTTACCTACTATGCCCGACAGCTCCGCATATCTTTGTGAAATCATTCCCATAGCGCGCTCTTACTCCGCTGCTATAATTGCAAATGCAATAGAATGCATCGTTTCCTTCAAAGCATGTAAAATCAAACAACTTAACTATAAATAAGCAATTGATGAGTGTCTTTTCAATTCCTTTCCACTTTGTTTACTTTCATTCAGCTATCTTCGAAAAACAACTGTTAGCTGGCAATGCTGCACATGTTTCCGCAAGGGTTGCAGCATGTGGATTTTTCGTTTTTCGTAACGTAGCTACGAATTACGAATTACGAAAAACCGGGTTCTAGAATAAGCGGGTGTATTTCTTGCCACAAGCTACTCGAAGTCACATCGACTTACACATCAGCATTCCACAAGTTTTGGAGTTTCTTTGAAATACGCTCAGAGCCTGAACTTTGCTCGAGTCTTTCTACAAGTAGCTTGTGGAACAAACCTATTTACTCAAGCAACGTTTCTCCAATATAAGGTTTTCGCAATTTTATTGAGTGGTAATTTCCACCATATTGACTTGTACAAGTCTGGGGTTGCGCAATGATTTTGTGTGGTTTAGGGGCCCTATAAGTTCGTTCTTCGTTATGCAAATAAGCATACAGATTCTATGTTTTTGTTAAAGCAAGTAATATAATTTTTTTTAATAACTGGATTTAATTATACATTTTTTTTTTATTTTTTGTTTTTTTTTTTTTAAATAAAAGTTAAAAAAATAACCGTTGCGTTTGCTTTTGATACTTTTTGAAACTTTTTCTGCTTGGCAGCCTAATTTTGTTCAAGCTCGCGACAACGCTGGTTGTGATTGCAGCTTTTCGACGTTGAGCTTTCTTAACATTGTTGGGCGCACATTTTTTGCTGCACGGAGGCGGGTGCGTATCTTTGCTGTATCAAGATAATGGTGCGAGTCGATGTTTGGCCCTCGGAGTGTACGTACGTACATCTAAAACACTGGAAGCGTGCCTTCCGTCTGTCACAATATGCTCAATTTGGCTTCCCGTTTTTCGATCTGGAGACAGCCATGTAGCTTGATGGAAGTTTTTATGCTTGAACCAAGTACTGCATACTACCATGTTTCGGGCCCCGGCGAAGTCGATCAGCCTCGGCCAGTTATCGAACGTTTCGTCATGGAGGATAAATTTTCCGGTAGCGGCACCAAAGATCCCTTTCTTGCCCACCCTGGGATTGAAGTCGCCAAGCATGAGTTTTATATCGGTTCGGGGACAGCGCTCATGAAAAAGATCCTTGGATGCCTCGTCCTTCTCTTCCATCGGGGCATTGGCATATATGAGCGGGATGTGGGAAAATCTCGGCTTTGATGCGAGTGAATGCCAGTACTCAGCGGCGGAGTCTCTCTCCCACCACAAATCCAACAGCGAATCGCTCCTTTACGTGGCCACTGTGGTAGACGACGCTTACCTTGCCTTGCCCAGTCCATCGCTTTTCTTGTATGGCGGTGCTGTCAGCATTTGTTTTCCCCCGAGGACATCAACCAGCCGGGCTGAGGCACCCGGCCGGATATTCTAGTTGAGTGCC